CTCTCCCTTTTTAATTTAAAAAGTTTGTATTATTTTTCCTCCTATGATTTCTCTGGATTTTTTTTCCTCTTAATTTAATTATTTCCTTCTAATTCTTAAGCTCCTGCCACTTTTATGCTACTTTGTTAAAAACTTTTGATTCTGAGTAGATGCGTTCTATGAACACAGGAATTCAACCCACTTATCTAATTCTTGGTGTGGTTCAAGAAAGTCGCGGACGTTTCGCATTGAGTAGATAAGAGAATTACCATAACAAGGAAGTCCTTAAGATAATAAGTTCTTTAAAAGTAATCATTCCTTTTATATGCAGCATCAACAAAAAAAAAGTTAATTTATATAATCGTGAAATAAATTGAACTTTAAATTGAAATATATTTCAAAGTTATTCAAGAAATACTAATAAATTGGAGATGCAAAATATTCTTGAAAATTCCATATTTCAAATTAAAAATTATCAGTATGAAATATTGTGCGGATTCTGCGCTATCCTGGCTGCCTATTTGATTGGAATTTTGATCAAGAAAGCAAGAAGCAATTATCCTCCCGGACCTGTTGGATTACCCTTAGTTGGATATTTACCATTCCTCTCTGAAAATGTTCACGTGGACTTCATCGAATTGGGAAAGAAATATGGAGATGTGTTCAGGTTAGTTAGTTATTCTTGTAGAGCTCTTGTTATATTTGCATGCAATGAAAATATATTGTCCATTACAATCAATTATCAGTATTTAAAATTCTAAAACACGGGTGACCAACCCAAATGATCTTGCGGGCCGCATATAAAGTTATATAACCCCATGTAGATTTAAACCCACTATGGACATATTTTGAAGTTAAAAATTGAAACATAATGAGTTATTGTTATTATGTTTACTATTATTCTTACATGTAAACATAGATAACATAATAATGATAAACGTCCATTGTAAAGAAATAACATAACACTAAAAATGATATATAAAAAATATATAAATATAAATGAAATAAAAAATGAAAACATTTAAAAATATTTATTTTACTAGTGCAATATTTGTTTCTCCTCTCTTTCACTTAGCTTTTGTAAATCGATCTCAATTTGGGTATTATGTTTGAGAGAGTGTTTCAATTCAATTTCAATTCAATGGGTCAATTTCATTTTCAAAAAAAAAAAGCAATTCGCAGATGTACGTTGAACCAAAAGCGCTAACAATTTTTTTTGTGCCAGATTTCTCAAATTGGAAAATTTCTCATTTGTGACGTAAGTGTTATAAAAATCTATTTTTGATTCAGAGGTTTCAAAAATGTATTTTAATTCAATAGTGCATTGTAAGACAACCAGTTCCATCTGGAGATTCTGGGGCTTGGGCAGAATCGATTTCAACATGAATGGAAGATGAATATATTTAAAAAATTTTGTTGTGTGTGTCTAACTCTAAACTACTGAATCGGCTTTCAAAAGCAACTGTAAGTTTTCTTATTTTGTAATTTAATTATTCCACGAACTCATAAATAAAACAGGAAATATCTGTCACATATTCGCAAGAATATTATTTTAAAATCAAAGTTAATTTTTCTCATAATTTCGACAGTTCATTTTTGAATATATGGATGCACATATAATGTATGTTTTTAATGCATAATAGAATAAATATATTCTGTAAAAGTGTGATAAATCTCACCAGCCGGAAAATGTTCACGGCGGGCCACGGCTAAAAGATTAATTAAACGTATATGGTTTTAAATATATGAATTTTTTTATGATGAAATATTAATAACTTTTTCTTAAATGCGTTTTTGTAAAGATGGCAGTCATAAATTTGCGCATATATCTATCTGTGAAATGTATTATTAATTAAACATAACATTATCAGAAGAATGATTTTTTTCTCCAATATTTCTTAATCTATTACAAGAAGAACCATCATTGCTCGGTTTTAGTTAAAAATTCTTTATTTCAAAATGTTTTGATGATAATTTTTTTTTTTTTTTACAAAATTGGTGAATTTAGGTGTATTATATAATATTATATGACATATGTATTATGATATCATCACAACCTATCATATCTTTACGCGATTAAAGCATATGTCATTTACAAAATATTCCCTATAATCTAATTATGAAAAAGTATTTAAAAATATTAAAATACAACCCAAATAAATAAATAGTGACTACAAAGAGATAGAAATGTTAAATAAGAATGCTTTAAGTTTTAAACATGCTAAACATATGTGGAGTTGAAAATATAACGCAGTTACTAGTGCGATAAATGAATTTACCTGGATATAAATTTAAATCAACTCTGGAAGAAACGCTAATTAACCTTTCCTCATCGAAAGAGTTGGATTTTTAAGGCGTTAATATCAACTACAAACATCAAACACTTGCAATCCAAACAGTTCAGTCGACTGGCTTTAAAATTCATGTTGATTCAAACTATCAAGCATTGTTACATAAATGCTGAAATCCACTGCTAAAAACCTTTCCCTATCCTATGAGTTGAATTCAACTGGCCTTAAAAGTAGCCTGTTCCTAACGCCCTCTTGCGTTGGGTCAAGTATCACTAAAAGCAACCATTAACTCTGCATTTCGTTAACTGGAGTTGACCGCTAATTCTTTCAACATAGTTAAATTAACAACTAGATTAATATTTGCTCAAGCATAGTAATATAGGGTGCACACTCTTTTGTAAGTAGAATGGAGGTTATCATAACCTCAAGTGAAAAATTCTTCTTTTTAATCAGATGTTCATGGGCTAAAGGTACGAGTGGCTAGCGCTCCGGCGCGCTAGTACAACAGGTTTCGGGTTCGAGTCTCGGCAGTGCCATGGATGTTTGTAGTGGTTCGGAATCCACTTTAAAACCGTAATTCCCAGTCTAACATGAGCGTTGCGGGGGGATTTTTGCATACCGTATTTTGACGTCCGTTAGCTTTTTCTCCTCAGCGCGCATGCTCATATGAAACATTATTACAAATACGCATCTGCAATTTCCTATGCGCATGCGCGCTAGGGAGGAAAAACTAACGGACGTCCAAAAAAACGGTATGCAAAAACTCTCTATTATTACTCTTCGTCCGTAGCTTATCTTTAAGCTACAAGCACCTCCTGGGTAGTGCTAAGTGAGTAACGTCGTTGCACCGTTTACCTTATGGCATCAAAGACAACTGTCTAAGTGTTTGCCAGCTGCATTAAAAAAATCAGATGTTCATTAAATGTGGTTTGAAACACCATATTCAATTTCAAAATTTCCCCAACTGATATCTTCTAACAGTCATCTAACTATATCTATATCTTCTAACTACAAGTCTGTCATCACTTTAACCTCTTAAAGGATCATTCTTTTTAAACACAATTTTGGTACAGAACAAAGTTTTTCACTAAAATAGAAACTATGCATTGTTAGAATTATGATCAATAAATGTTTTATTTATTTTATTCATTTTTTTTTTTTTTCATTGCATACATTCGAGTAAAAATTTTGACGTTTCTGGTGCATATTAGAATCGGTAGAATCCATTGATTCCTTCACACAAGTTTCGAGATTTTCCTTACGATAGATAGCTGCTATTATTTATAATTACTCATTTTGATAAACAACCAAAATGAAAGTAAATTTGAAAATAAGCAATAAATAAAGCGCAGCTCTTCTCCAGTCTTTTATGGACATAGAGTTGTATATGTCTGTAAAATATTATCGTCTTTCTTCCTTTTCATTAAATAAAACGACTCTCAGTGATTTAAAATTGAATATATATATTTAATAACATTTTATATACGTTTTAGAGCCATCACTCGCCATCACCAACCTTCATTGCTTACATCCATCCTTGTTCTTACGTAGGAGTCCCCGTAGCGGCCACACCTCATTATATTTATGTGCTGGTGGTGCCATCTATCGCCATTTACATTAAAAAATAGTTAACAAAAGTAGCATGAAATCTCGAAAGAATCACTATTGCCTGACTTGCGATATCATGAGAGAACTTGTATTATTCTTAAAACATTACAAAGCAGCCCAAAATACTCGTTTTAGTTCAGAAATAAAAATTAATCTTCGCACGAGTTAAGTCGGGTAGTCCAGAAAACATATCATGAGATAAGAAAATCCGGTTAGGCGTTAACTTAAACACCCTGTGATGCATATAAATATATATATTTATTCAATTCCTTCCATTAGCTCACACTCTCCCTGTTCAAATTTTCAATCGTTCGTAAAATACTTTTTATTCATCCACTCAAGTTCAAATACATTTTATTTTTGAACTTGTAGTGGATGACACTGGATGTTAATACAGTTTTTTTTAAATATTAATTCAGTAATTAAATTTAATTAATTGATTTTTAGTTTTTTTTAGATTTAAGTTGCATATATCTACCAATAGATGGCGCCAGATAAAGTTAAAAAATGAATGAAAATTATTTATAAAGGACTTTCTGCAAAAAAATTAATGAAATAGCTTTCTTAGTGAAAAAAAGTAGGAATTGACTTAAATTTTTTTTTTTATATATTACTTGTTTAATTAATGTTTGTTGTTTCTTTGTAGTGTGAGTTTGGGGACGAATAGCATTGTGGTGTTGCATGGAGCAGAGGCCATAAAGGAAGCTTTCAACAAGCAAGAGTTCTTGGGAAGACCTGAAATCGGCTCGTTGCAACTTCTGGATCCTATAAGTAAATTCACAATTTATGAATAGAAACGAAATTGGTGCAATTACTTATATAAAACAAATTAATTAATTATGAAAGGAATTTTATTATTCTATCAATCTTACTAAAATATTTATAAATGAATTGCAAGAAATTATTTAAACCAGGCGAGATAAGCCACAATAACTTATCATTTATCAGATAAAGTCTCACGTGGTAAAGAGGAAGAAACTGAATCTTCATTGGTCCGAAGATGCCTGGATTACTTAAATCACATAGGACATTGCATACATAGCAATGCTTATAATACTTAAACTGAAGACAAATAAAAACGAAACCGAAAAAAAAAGATTTCTAGTTATTAATATTGAATGTGACGGTTTTCGTTCGATCACTGAAGTCAAGCATCATCGGGCGCGGTCAGTACTTGAGAGGGTGACCACCTGGGAACACCGTGTACTGTCGACGTTCAAAATTTTGGGAACCCGATGGGCGAGTGACTAGCGCTCTGACGCTCAATGTTACAGGTTTTGGATTCGAGTCTCGGAGGTGTTTGTAGAGGTCTGAATCTACTTTAAACCTTAAGTCCCTGTCTCATATGATTAATGAACTTAGGCGTAGGGCTGACAACTTTATCTCGTAAAAGAAAAAGAACCTTTCTCGTAAAGACTGGCAACTGGCGTACCGATTACGGAGTACCAGTGAGGATATACCTCTTAACTTCCTCATCTTAATTTATAGATAAAATTAAACAATTATGGTTGGCTGCTTTAGGTTAGTAATAAAAAATAACAAGATAAAGTTGATAATGGTGCTCAAAATTTAAAATTTTAAAAATAAATGGTACTCAAAATTTAAAAATACTAAAAATAAATAAATGTAAAATGCAAAATAAAAAATTAAAATTAAATATTAAAAGAATTTAAGTTTAAATTCGGTACAATTAGGGACCAGTTAACGATGCTACAAAAACTATTGAAGATGTAAACATAGTAATCAAAGGGCTATGCTGAACGGTGGGAGCCCTCTCGTAAAGAACAACATCTCATGTCTCGAAATCTGCCAGTTGACAGACGGCGTTGGTCCGGCATTGCGCCAATGATAAAGCAGAAGGAGTTATTAATATTTATAGCATTATTGTTTTTATAACGACGCTAATTAGTTCATACATTAAGATTAATAAAATGCAATCACAAAATCATCAACAAAATCACAAGTTTATGATTTTTTATTTTATTAATTGCGTTCAGTAACAAACTACATGTCCAAACTGAAAACGCTCTTGGTGTAAATGTTATTTCTTACAAAGGAATTCCTTATTGTAAAATACATTGTAGAATATTGTTGATCTTTTCCTCAGGCCCTTTTTCAGCGCTGACTTTCAAGCATGGAAGGAGCAGCGCAAATTTGTTGTGCAATCAATGAAACACCTAGGATTGGGAAAAACAAAAATTGAAAATGATGTCATGGTAAGTTTGTTATGTTAAATCGTTATGGAAAGCATTATCATAAGAAATTATTAAAATAAATTATAGTTTAAAAACACTAAAAACACGCTTTTAGAGTTAATCAAACTAAAAAGTTAAAAATGATTGTTAACATAAGAATAAAATTACTGACGAGAAAATGAATGTCGCTGTTCTAAAAGCGTGGGATGCTCGATATCAATCGTTATAATTTTTCACTAGTTTCATTCTGAAATGCAGAGTTAGTTTAAAAATGTCATACAAAGCACCCCACGCTTTTAGAACAGTGACATTCATTTTCTCGTCAGTCATTTTATTCTTATGTTAACAATTATTTTTTACTTTTTGGTTTGATTAACTCTTGCTTGTTTTTTAGTTTTTTTTAAACTATTAATTTATTAAATAGCTATAATTTGTATAATGAACATAAAAACAACTGATTTATAATATAGGAATAACACTAGATGTTATATGGTATTTATTGCATTATAATTTTTATTAATATATATCTTCTTAGTTTCTTACAATTGCTTCTTACAATTATTTTTTACTTTTTAGTTTGACTAAATCTGAAATTGTGTTTTTTAGTTTTTAAACTATTAATTTATTTTTTACTTTTTAGTTTGATTAACTCTAAAAGCGTGCTTTTTAGTGTTTTTAAACTATAATATTTAAATGAAGTCCCGGTACGGAGGGCTGGAACTATAGTTCTTACAATAATTTAATTGTGAGTAAAACAAAGGCTAAATGCGAATATGTAGAGCCAGCCAGGATTCGAACAGGGAATCTCCTGATCCGTTGTCAGGCGCGTTATCTGTTGTGCCACTGTCCCACGTAGGTTTGTCTTAGGTACTTTAATTCTACATGGGTTGAATTTCTCTTCATAAGTTAAATAAAAATCACTAATCCTAGCGATAATAATCATGATGAGATAATAAACTTATCAAAATATTTTATTGTCGTCGGTCCTTGATAAATCTACAACGTTTAAATTAAATCGGATCGCTTAAAGTAGGGCAAAATCGAGCCCAAAGAGTCAGTTACAAACAAACATACAGGTGAAACTAATAAAAGCGTATTGAAAATGCTACATACTACTGTCCCCAAAAAGTAAAACCAATTTTCAATTTAAATTTCCCAGGCATAAGGAATAAGATGTTCGTATATTCCAATATCATATTCCGTACGCCCGGGAAATTTCTATGCCAACAAATGTTGATGTTAAGATCAAAGTTGGAATTTCAAAGGATCGGTGAATTTCATTTTAAAAAAATGTTTTGGGCCTCAAACGCGTCAAATCTCGATTGGTATCGAAAACACTGATTTTTTTGGAAAAACGTCGCATTGAAGTGTGGGAAACAATGCTTTCTGACGATCAGGACAAGTTGAAGTACATCATAACTGAGATGAAACTTGTATTTATGCAAGACCGAAAAGAGCACGCCAAAGTCGCTCACATATCAAGGTTATGTTGACTGTTTTCTTCGATTACTGTGCTGCGGTGAATTAAGAATTCCTTCTGCGGGACCAAACTGTCAACAAGGAATATTATTTGTGTGTTATACGTGGTTTGCGTACAGCTATATTTATGGAAAGACAACTCTTGGTTTTTGCATATTTTTAAGTAATATGCCATTTATAATGCGCCAGCTCTCACTGCTTTGATTCTTCATGGCTTTTTCGCCAAAATTGAAACCCATATCGTTCTACAACCACTGTATTCATCTGAGTTAGCACGTGCGACTTCTGGCTATTCCCTAAACTCAAAAGACCACTCCGGGGACACCGTTTTGAGTCGGTTGAAGAGATTCAACGCGAATCGCGGCGCATTTTGAAGACCATCCCAGCCGATGACTTTTTAGCATGCATTGAGGATTAGAAAAAAAGTTGCCATAAGCGCTTCGTGTCCGGAGGGGATGACTTTGAAGGCGATGAAATAAATTTGAAGAATAAATAAAGAGTTTTTGAAAAAAATAAAAATTGGTCTTACTTTTTGGGCACAATAGTATTATGTTTGTGTTTTTAAATTAAATACACCGAAAAGGACTAATCCATTTACTTCAATCAGAGAAACAGATTAGGCAATTAAAATAAATTTCAGTTTGTATATTTTATGGCATCTAAGAAAATTTAGGATCACTCTTGAAATGAGGAAAATTTAAGTTTTACGCATGTATTAATAATGCATAAAATTTTATAATACATATAAAAGTTGTATTCATGTTGCTCACAACTTCTCTTCGTATTACGTATTAAATTCTCCAGTAAGTCCACTAGGGCATTTTTATATGTATTTATACACTCATACATAATTCATATATATAAATATAAACATACTATACGTATATACATCAATAAAATAATCTATAGTTAACAAACAAATAGACTTAAATTACGAAACGATGATTTTGCTCAGAAACAGGCCAATTTTATTTCATTATCAAAAATAATTTTTTCTATCTGCTTCAAACGCAAATCTTGTATGATAAAAACTTACATATATATTATTTATATAAATGAATGTTTTTATTTGATAATTAAATTTTTTTAATCATATAATTCTTTATAATTTACCACTTTAACAATTCGAACATTTCATTCTTCCTGCATCATAAGAATAACATAAAATTGCCCGATTCGTGGCTCAGTGGCAACATGCGCCACTGGTGAATATTAGGCGGCGTCGTTGTTTTGGCGGCGTCGTTGTTTTGGCGGCGTTGCTGTAGCTGGCGGCGTTGTTGTAGAAACTGTTTTAAGTAAAGAGGAGACTCGATGGCGTTTGTGATGTTCAGTATCTTACCTCGTGAATCGGACAACCTGGTTCTCCGGGTTTTCTTCTATACGATATGCAAATGCGGGGTAGTTCTCCCGGAAGACACTGCCTTCTTCCTTCAGCGACACGCAGCCAAGTCAGACTTCTACCTACGGGTGTTCCATCACAACATCACCCTTTCCCTCCACCCATGAGTAGACTACTGTCTCATGGAAGGAGGGCAGCTTCTGTTATGATGGTACACTCATAGGTAAAAGTCTCATTTGGCGCAGTGACGCTGAAGAAGGAGGGCAGTGCCTAGGGCTTCTCCATCACATCACCGCCCTTTCCATTTCTTTCATGAGTAGACTATACATGGGATGTCTGTGCCGCAGTGCAAGAAACTGAGGATTAGACATAGACATAACTTAAAATTTTTATTATACTACAATTTAATGCAAAATTTTTGCTTTTCTGAAATTTTAAATTCAGAAAATGTAAGTATACCAAATAAAGCTTTCATTCATTCAATTCCTACTATGAGTTCACACTCACCCTATATATATTTATATATCTTGTTCAGATTTTCAATCCTTTATAAAATACTTTTTTATTCATCCACTCAAGTTCAAATACATTTTTTTAACTTGTAGTGGATGATGACACTTGGTGTTAATGCAGTTTTTTCAAATATTAATTAATTAATTTTTAATACTTTAAATATAGTTTGAGCAGCTTGTAATGAAATTTGAAATCAACGGGCAGTAGCTCAATCGGTAAAATGCAAGTATTTTTCACGTGAAGAATGCGAGTTCAATTCTTGCGGAAATCAAATCAGAAACGAAAAAATAGAAAGCGAATAAATAGTAACAAACAAATATAATAGTCCAATACTCTATATAGAAAGGAAAATAGAAAATTGCAAGGAAATTCGCTTTCTATTTTGCCACTTAATATTGACATTCTGTCATATGTTTATACATATTTATATTAATTGAAATTATTTAATAAAAAAAGTAACTAAAATAAAATTTTTCTTTGTTGACCTATATAGGAATTGACTTTAAAATTTTTTTATATTACTTGTTCAATTCCTTTTATTAGCTCACACTCTCCCTATACATATCTTGTTCAAATTCTCAATCGTTAATAAAATACTTTTTATTCATCCACTCTAGTTCAAATGCATTTCTTTTGAACTTGTAGTGGATGACACTGGATGTTAATACAGTTTTTCAAGTATTAA